TATGATGTTGGCTCCCAATTAAAACAAAACCTAACAAAACACCCAATCAGTCACTGACCTGTGCTAAAATATTTTTCTCTTCCTGTCGAATGTATTTGAATTGACCCAAAACTAAATCTTTGCATTTAATAGCCAGAGAACATGAGAGACTGAATTACTAAATTCTGTCATGGGCATGAATTCCAATATACAAATTCAGATTTGAGAGAAATATATCTTTTTGTGTGCATTATTTATACATAATTCAACTTTATTTTTCACTTAACCATGTGTTCTGTCAAAATTTCGGAAATTTTATCTCAGCCAATTCTGTTTACATTGTAGGGAAGACAGTATTGTACCATGACTTGGAACATAGGTGTCAGTATTTTAATAGGCATGTTTGCCTGAGATCCCTTTCATTCCTGTTTTCTTGGCAGTTTCAATTCTAAAGGGTCTCTCTGTTTCTTCCTCTCCACCATTATGGTGTGGGGAAATGTTTCCCAAGGCTATGGAATCCTTTCTGTGAGAATACTAGGTCCTGTTGCTCTAGCCAGAAATACTCAGTGATCTTGAACCAAGAAAGGACACACAGATCCCCCCTGCTCTTCAACGTCCAGGATTTTTTGTGAAAAAAACGAGAAAACAAAACAAAACAAAACTCATCTGCTGCATGGTCCAAGACAATTTTAACTTTTGTTTGCTAGGGGAAAAAGGTGCTGAAAGGGACTTGGGAAGAATTTCCTTTCTTGGAGACATTTCAAAAATATCCTTTCTGTATAGCAGTAGTTCCATTAAGAATTTGACTTGGGAAGGTAGTAAAATGGGCTTTTGCCTTGCTTTCCCCTCTCTTCCAGTCTCTTTTCCTTTCCTCCCTCTCTCCCTTCTTTCTCTTCCTCCTCCTGTTTTTCCTCTATCTCCATATTATCTATCTGTCTTTCTGTCTGTCTATCTATCTATCTATCTATCTATCTATCTATCTATCTAGCATCTATCACCTGTTTTCCTGTTTACTAAATAGTCCAATCACAGGGCCCAACAACTGAGCTAGGATGTTGGGCTGCTGACATGAAAGAGAGAGTCAGATCTCTGTGACAACCCCTATGGTGACCATGTTTTCCACGGTTAAGTGCTGGTAGACGATTAGTCTGAAATTCTGTCTGCTGCCATATTCACTTATCAGCACTGTACACATACAGAATGTCTATTGCTAGTCGTGTACTTGGAATTATTCTTGTGTGTTTTGGCAATATCTATAAATCATATTTAAAATAATCTACAATTTGGTAATATAAAAGTTTTACTAAATTAGATGGATTTCCTTGGTTTACATATTTCACCTATTTTTCACTTTGCTTTTTTATTTGTCAAGTTTGTACATATTTATGGGATATAATGACTTAATTCCATACACATATACAATGTATAATGATGAAGTTTAGGTACTTAATATTTTCCTTTCTTTAAACGTTAATCATTTCCTTGTGCTGGGAAAGATTCAAAATTCTTCTAATTCTTTATAAAATGTATAGTAAATTGTGAAGTATAGTCTCCCTTGTGTGCTGTAGAACACTGAACTTATTCCTCCTATCTAAATGTATTTTGCTTTATTTTATGCAGCCTATTCCCATGCCATTCCTTACTTTTTCTAGCTTCTTCTTCTATGAAATAAACTCTCTGTGTATGAGTGAGAATGTACTATATTTGAATTTTTGTGCTGGCCTTTTTTCACTTACCATAAAGTCTGTTTTGCACTTTGATTTGATGAATATTCATACAATAATTACATACTGTCCCATTTAGTGTTTGCCTCATCCCATTTCAGGCTTCAGGCATAATTTTAGTAATACTTCAAAATGAACTTAAAATAACAATCTGTCTCACATGTTGCTGTGAGGATTTGATTTAGAACTGTGTATATTTCTGATGATAACAATAGAATTTGACTTCTGAGGTTTTGCTCTTATAAAGCAGTAAGGCAGTGTAACCAGTACCTTCTGTGTACAGCACATAGGTTTAACACTCAGCTGCATACATGATCTAGTGTGACGAATTTTATTTTTGTTTGTGACCTGTCTGTCCATAGAAGACCAGAGCAGGAAGCTTGTAATGAATGAACTTAGGGTAGTTGGACAATCTAAGGACCCTGAAAAAAATTCATTTGCCTTAAACGAAGTGATGAAGTGCCCATGAATTTTTAAAGAGTTATGAATATGTTGAATCTTGAAAAACAATAGTTTCCATGCATATATTGTACTCGGTACTATTGTAAGGAGTTCACACGTATTAAATAATTTCAATGAGGTAGTTATGATTATTTTCCTCTGCTTCAATACTGGGAAACAGAGACACTCAGAAATGAACTTGACCAAATTCAGTCATTAAGTATCAAAGTCATGATTTGAACCCTGATGTCTTACCCCAGGGTTTGTGTTCTTAACTATTTAACTATTATAGTGCAAGCTTGGGTAACATTATACAAAGTAATATGAAAGAGAAAATACAGGGCCTGGGGAAACCAGTAAGAAGAGAGAAAATAACCCAAAATATTTTACATTACTCTTTCTACTTAGATATAGCCTCAGATTAGCACGTAATCTACCCGATATGAAACATTTAAAATATTATTAATAAAGATTTTCACATATTAAAATTTTTCTATGCTAATTTCCTCTAGGACATGATTTCCACTTATGCTTGATGAATCTTCTATGATTCTTTTTTTTTCAACAATTTAACATTTATAATGTCCAGAATATTATGATTTCAAAACAAATTACCACAGATAAAAAATCACTTTACAATGATAAATGATCAGCTCATCACAAGGCATAACAGGCAGCAATGTGTGAGGTTCCAGTAATTCTTAAGCAAAGTCTCACAGTTTTCAAAACCTGACTTTATGGAATGAAAATTAATGCACTAGCACAGAAATGACAATGATTCCTTCTTTTTACCTTCTTGAGATTAAAGTTAGACCTTTTTATACTAAAAATATAAATATTCTTAAGATCTTGAAATTGTTATGTATTTTATGATCTTCTAGCTATTTTTATTTCTAGGAACAATCAGAAAATGAATGCTATCGTCAACAAGACCACATTGAATGAGATTGTTTTCAGCTCAGATTTTGAAAAAGAACATTGTGACTAACTGTATGAATGTAGTTCTGCAATGCATTGTAGTTTAAACAGCGAATTTATATATGTATAATATATATATAATGTGTTTGTTACACTTTAAAATTCCCTTGAGGTGTTTTCTTTAAATAATGTCTAATGGAATGCAACTCATCATTATACAAGCCAATTACAGAGGCAAATATTCCTTGATTAAAGTCACTTTTGTGTGTCTCCATAGTCCAAAAATTTCTATTAATGATCATTAATGTCTCTTTTGACTAAAATGTGATATAAAGAAAATTAAGCTTTGCTAATGTCTTAAGATCTCTATATATTTTAACTGAATATTTTTGTAGATTATGCTATTTACCTGAAAATGTATTTCATTTACCTCCTCGTGATGATATATTTATAATTAAGTATAATATTTAGTTTTAGAATATTTAATTAACAACATTTTCCTTCTTAGTGATTTTTCATGTTATCAGTTTAGTGTCATTAAATAACTTTTTAACATTCTTTATTTTCTACCAAACTGTGATATCTTTTGTATATTATCTTCACTATGTGTATTTCCCAAGAGGTTTTTATCATAAATCTTAATAATTTAATGTCAACACTTCAGAAGAGCCAAACCTATGACATTTTGAAAATTCACATATTATCTAAAATGATGTTAAAAGAGCTAGCATAGAACAGTGCTGTTGAAAAAGGCCAAACACATACCTCATGTGTTTTTCATGAAACCATAATGTGGAATTATTTTCTTGCTCTCTTTTGGCTGTAAAATAACCAAACACAAAACAAGACAGATTATAGTGAACTACACATGGCATTGAGCTTTGCTTCTGAGCTCCAAGACTAGCGCGCAGTACTATTGAACAGTTTATATGTTTCTAATATGGATTGATTTCATAAAATAAAGCTCTCTGACTTTGACATAAACACTTCTGAATGTGTGAACTCAACTGTCAGTGTAATGCAATCCCTTGCTTTTATTTATGGATACATTATTTAGGCTCACACTGTGGTGTAAGCAGAAAATGAAAGTACCTATGTGAATATAGATTTTGTGCAGTTTCTATTTTGGGTGTCTGATGAAAGAGGCAGTAAGGCAGCATTTTTTGTTGAATGGATGTTTATGTTTGTACTTTTTTAACCTGAGAGATTACAAAGGACTTCTTTTTACAGGGTGATTTTTCTAACCCAAACATTAGAGTAATGACAGGTATGGTTTGCTGACTGTGTTTGAGCTCTTTTGTGTTTATTTCAGTTTAAAGCTGCATTTATGAGAACTCACTGCCTAGACCTCTCTGATTGAAGAGGTTACCAAGGTAGCATGGGGCTGCATTAGAATTAGATAATCTTGTTATTGCTTTCAGGAACAAAACCCAGACCCACTACATGGGGGAAAGACTGGTATGATCTATACCTATCTCTTACTTACTTGTTTTCAGTGTGTAAGAATTAATAATTTCACTTCAGAGTATTCCAAAAGTTAAATAATTGACCATTTTCATCATTAAAATGCAGTGTGACTATACTGGGAATTAAAAAAAAGGAGTTTATCATCATTTAAAAAGAAAGAAACATTTTGTTTTAAAACATGCATCACTCTTCCTATTCCAGTTTCAGAACATTAACCCAGGGAAACATAAATTTGAATTGGCCTCTCCAGCTATAAATTTCTTCATACAGTGATATATGTTAATGCCATTTAATTAAAATTCAGCATCATAAATTTTGCTTGAATTTGAGTAGTACAGACTGATTTTGCTAAAGACCACCATTTCATTTTAACTGTTTGAGAGAATGAATGAATGAATTGTAAAGCATGGTGTTGAATTCCAGTTGTGTCATAATTAAATAGGTGCATATTCTTGTGTTTCTGTCTTTTAGCATCTCCGTCAATTAAACTCTTGGTGGACGATCCAATAGTTGTAAATCCTGGAGAGGCCATAACATTAGTGTGTGTTACAACAGGAGGAGAGCCTGCGCCCTCTCTCACCTGGGTCAGGTCCTTTGGGACCCTGCCTGAAAAGACTGTTTTGAATGGAGGAACTTTGACCATACCTGCCATCACCTCTGATGATGCTGGTACTTACAGCTGCCTTGCCAATAATAATGTGGGAAACCCTGCAAAAAAGTCCACTAACATCATTGTGAGAGGTAAGTTTGCTTCAGAAATGTTACAACATAGATTTTGCTGGTAGTCGGGCATAGGAGAGCAATTACTGTAATTTGATTCAAATATTGCACATATATGTAACATGCAGAGAAGATTAGTTATAAACAATGGTATAGTGTCTAATTATAAGAGAAATGTAAAAATTTTAAATCCTAATGACAGTGTTTTTATATTTGCATTGAAAATAATTTTCATAACAAATGCTTAGTGATACACTGAATAGAATTTATAATATGCTTTTATTCCCAATAAATGATTAATAAGAAAATGTAGCACAGAACATAAAGCATTGTAATGTAGGTTGCATCTCAGTAAATGTATTGAACCAATGTTTAATAAATATTTATTGAATCCCTATTAAAAGTAAAGCTTTGAATTGTGAAATTATACAGATCTATAAAACAATACTTCCTACTCCAGGATGCAAGTGAGTTATATCTTATCATTTTTAGAAAGCATAAAAAAATGGTATAGAAGTTTTAAAAATGTATTTCTAGTCATTTTTGGCTCAGGTTGTTGGGGAATATTTCATGACATGTGCATTAGTTTGAGTAAGCTTTGACAATGGGGAAAGATATGGAAAAATCAGAAATAGAAAAGGCAAAGCTTATTTGAGGGACGGCAGTAAAATGTGGGACACTCAGTCTGCAGAAGTGGTGACGTTGGAGTGTGGTTGCTGCCAGGTGGTGTTTTGGTGCCATGCCAGGAGGAGATATTTTTCCTCCCTTCCAGAGGATGGGAAGGAGGAAGAACTGTAGAGATCATGTGTTTCTTCCTGTCTCCTCTCATCTGGCCTGAACATAGGTTGGAGGGTGGGGAGACAAATATTGATGCCCAGGGGATTAAAAGAGACATCCACATGCCTGACACAACCTTTTTATCATGCAAGTGAAAATTATTCACGATGACAGATAAGATGGAATCAAAGCATAATTGAGTATGTCAAGATCAACACATCTGATTTTTGGGAATATAGAGCATGGTGGTTTTAGTGACTATAGTTATCTGTTATCTAAATTATTAGAAATATTCTACAGGATAAAAATATACTCCATCAAAATATTGCAAAATATTACAGTGTAAATCAAAACACCATGATTAGTGCAGTCTGCCTCAAAGTTGTACAATACTCAGTAAATGCAAGATGTGTCTTCATTTTATCTATCACTGTAAAATAAAACATACTGCCAGTGAAACTACCACAGTGCTTTCTCATGAGGTGGTATGTTATTGAAAGAGCTCTTTTAAATTTGCTGTGATTAGGTTTTCTTTTAAACCATGTATCACTCTTTGGCTTGCTTGAAAAGGTAAATAAAAACAAAGTAATTTGAATTATTCACAAAAATTCACACTTAGAACTCACTTTTAATCAATTTTTATTTGAGGGTCTTTGAGAACCATTATTATTTGATATTGTCCTTTGTGTCATGAAGAGTATTTATAAGTCAGGTCTATAAAAATATTATTTCTGAGGTTATCTTCTAAGCTCACTATTATTGAGGTGAGGTAGCTGGTAGCTGTGAGAGGTTGCTGAATGTAAGATGCCTTCTGATTTCAGAAATATTAAAATGGAAAAACAGATTTCAAGAAGATTTTATAATCAGTGAACTGTGATCTTTATTTCAATTGTTTTATAAACATCTACTGCATAACTGCAGCATATTAAGGACTCAGCAAATACAAGGGTTGCACTATGTTAACTACAAGATCAGTGATTAATCCCTGCCTTCTACTGAGTTTATAGTTCTACAAAAAAGATAGAAATACTTGAATAATATATGGAAAAACATAAAAAGATAGAATTCATGAATGAAAGAACCAAACTTCCTATTTTAAGTACTAGTATTAATGAAATGACTCTTTTTATGTCATCTATGAGTACTGAGATCCTGTCTTCCTTCTACCTCAATTATTTTTTAAAAAAGAAAACATTGTATAGTCAGCAGTGTTTGTTTTCCCTTTCGTTTCCTTGCTTTCTCAAGAAGCCATGATATAATCTACCAAATCTTTCCATCGTGATTGTGAAGTTAGTTCAAGCATAACAACTGCTATACATAAGTGTCATGGGTACAATGCCGAAACATTTATTCCATTATTTTATCACAGAAAGGGACTCACTAGAGATTAATAATGCATCGGATCTAGTTTATACAATGGGATAATTTGCAATATTGAATCCATGTGCAGCTGCTACAGTGTGCAGCAGGGAATGTCTGTGTGGCTCAGGCACGCACCGTGAAGCACCAGCTCAGGACATAGCAAATGCTTGCTGAGAGGAGGATTTGCTCCTGTCTGCCCTACCTCCACTCTTTATCTGTGTGCTTACAAAGGAAAGTTGCCAACATTGACATAAGTCATCTGAAATAAATAAAGCCGTAAATTTATTTCTATGATGTATAATTTCTTTTTATGCCTTCAATATTTCTGAACTGTACATTTGCATAATCATATTACCGGTGACACTTCTCAGCAATGGTGTTCACATAATTCATCCAATCACTTTTGCATATAATCTTAACGAATATAGAAATAGTTTTAGGGAAAGGGTCCTAGATAAAACCGAGGGGAGAGGAACTGCTGAATTAATGTGAAGCATCTGATTTTTGTTCACTGAGGGCAAGACATTCAGTGCAGAAAAATAGTTTTCACTTCATTGTATTAAAGAAATTATTTTCAAATCTTCTGAATGTGTAGACCTCTGCAGTGTCTTAGATTAACTGTATAATGCATATAGTAGAAATGAAATGCCAGCCTTATTTCCCCCATATTTTTCAGTAATTAAATCAAAATCTATGGACTAGGCTTCTGAGCAAGCACAAGGATATTTTGTGCATAGAATTACCATTCCAATTTATAAATGTCTATGCACAGAATGAGAGTGTAGGGTATGGTTAGGAATAAAACTCTACAAACATTTCCAAATTCTTCATTTGAAATTTTAAAATCAAAAACAATTTATAGTAAATTTCATATATCTATGAAATATACGTATATGATATATATATATTCACTCCATGTAGATGATAAGCTGAAAGTGAATATGAATCTCATATAGTCTACAACTTCAGTAAAATATTTATAAATGTAGCAGCGGTGCCTTTCTTGCAATTCTTTAAGAAATTGAGTCACATTTCTCCTTAGGAGAGAAGCAGTTAGAATGTATAAATATAAAAGGAAATTTTCTCTCATTTTTTCATCACATGTTGGGTGGCTTGAACTCAGTGCTTTCCAAAGTCCTCTTTGAAGTTCTCTGTTTTTCCATGTGATCCATCCCTGTCTTTCCAGTTGTATCTTCAGCACGTACTTTGAATCTGACCATATATATCTTTCACATTAATGTTGCAATCATTGTATACAACATCATTCTATCTACCAGGGTGATTAAAATAGTCTTTTTATCAATATTCTGTCCACTTCAGTGCCTTTTTACATATTCATCCACTGTATTGGATGAAGTAGACTAGGTTGACCTATACATGTAACAGTAATTACTTTAAAAACAATAGAGAACTTTACTGTTATGATTTGAATATGGTTTTTGACCTCTCAGGATCCATTGTGATAAAAAGCTTAGTCTTTGGTCCCAAAGGAGTTGGCACAAGAGGACAATTTTTAGATCATTAGGGTCATGAGTTTGGTCTAAAGGAACCTCTTGCCAGTTCTTATGATGTAGTTCTTATAAAAGGAGCAACCTTACCCTCTCCTACTCTGCCTACATCTTGGTCATTCATAGGTATGATTTTTCACTTGAGCATGCTGTTCTACTACTGACATTCATAATCCCTATGAGATCCTCACCAGAACTGAGCTAGTAGAGGCACAATACCCTTGAGCCTTCATAATTATTAGCTAAATATACCTTTTTCTTTATAACATTAACTGCTTTGGGTATTTCATTATAGTAATAAAAAATCTGATTAATATAGAATACAGTACTCAACAGTGCAGTATACACTATACTCTAACTAACTATAACTGAAAAGCTGAAGAACACTTTGAAATTGGTTTGTGGGCAAAATTTGGAAGGGTGTGGAGGAGCAGCCTGGAGAAAGCATAGAATGCTCTCAATGGAGTATTATGGACCACTTTAGAGAAGATGCAGAAGATGAGATTACCCAGAGATTTAGCTCAGTGGCACCTGCCTTGCAAGCACAAGGTCCTGAGTTCAATCCCCAGTACCAAAAAGCAACAACAAAAAAATGAGGTTAGCCAACAGGTCTCAGATGGAAATGAGGATTCCTTTGTAAACTGTATAAAAGCCCATCCCATTACACTATGGCAAAGAACCTATATGCATTTTTCCTGTGTCTTAAGACTTTATGTTAAGCCAAACATAACAATATTGGACTAATTTACTTGTTGGAGGAGATTTCAAAAGAGTGAAGCATACAAACTGGAATGAGTATTGGTTGGCACTTTTAGTCAGTCTTAGAATGAGAATCAAGTGTAAAAGAAAGCAGAGCAGAAAGATTTGAAAAAGTCACAACCTGACCAGAGAAAGACTGAAAAGTCATGAAAGGGCACAGCCACAAGACAGCAAAAGCAACTGAAAATATGTTGTATTTTCTTCACGAACGACTGCGGAGTGTTTCCTAGTTATTAATGCTGCTGGGGGAGTGTATGTGATAGGAGTGTGCATGAGGATCTCTCCATGCAATGACTCAGGTAGATGAGCTATTTATGCCTCTCCCATCTTCATCTTGTGGTTATGAATGTTTCTCTGAGTGTTGCCTCCATTCCTCTCCTGGAAGTGATAAGGGTCTCAAATGAACAAACAAGGGAGATTTTTATGGACCAATCCACATTAGTTTCAGTCATATTTCAATTAACTAGAACTCAGACATATGGCCATACCCAGTGATTTAAAGGCTAGGAAATACATTCTGAGAAATAAGAAGACATCATTTTTTATCAGTAGCCAGCCATCTCTGCCACATCCATGCAAAATCCTCTTGTTCTCCTTCATCATATTTTTCCTGTG